TGAGAGATTTGGGGCTTAGTTAATTTAGCCATTTATATCCAAGTCACATGTACTAGATTTAGTACTTCATCAAAATCATCCCGATCTTGTGATCTCTTGATCAGAATCACATGATTTTGTGCTCATTAGAACCGTCTCAGTGAGCTGAATCTAATAGTGGTTAATTCATTCAAATTGGTCTGGTATATCAAAAGTTATGATCGAAAATATAAAACTTTTAATGTTAACATTCTTTCCCACTTAGTTTTGAGCTCTGCGAAAATTAGAGTAGGGTATGATAATCAGCAGTAGACAAACTATTAATCTTGGGAAGTGTTGTATTGGTAGTTTGAAAGATTTGTTGAATTCCAAGACTTTCAAAAATATTATAGACTCTAATAGAAGCCTTATAATAATAAGTAGAAACTTCTCTTTTGATCATTTTTCTTTTAAGAGAATTTTTTTCTATTAGTTCTCCTAGATAATAAGCATAAGCTAACTGTGTCTGTCTCATATAAGGTCAGGTTCTAAGTAACTTGTTTCTAATTTTTACAATTTGGTCTTGTAAACTTGGAGTTCTATCTACTAGTCGAGGTGTTGGATTAGGAGATAAAGGAGTTATACTATAAAGATCAGCAAGAATCTCATTAAAATCATTATTCATTGTGAGAGAGTATTATTTGAAGTTTTGTTTCAGAGTTGTAGAAAATCTAAAGAAGCCATTTCTTGAGCCTTATTATATCTGCTAAATTTTCTTTGTACTTCTATGCCAAGCAATCTTGGGTACACTTAATTTGTAATCTGTATAACCCATATTGTTTCATATTTTTGGTGACTAATTTTTGTTTGATCTATGTTTCTCTTTGTGTTTTATTTATGTTTACTCTGTTTATAATAAACATTAAATAATTCTTTGTTCTAATTTTAGCAAAATTTGTATCACTATATCTGATTTTGTTGAGTAGTAGTAGATAAAGGTCCAATAAAATTTATTCCAATTTGATAAAAAGATGCTTCTACAGAAATCAGTTAATAAGGTTCAGATTTTGATATTTTTCTCTTTTCTGATATCTGTTTCAAGATGTGCTTTAATTGAATGATTGTGTATTAAGTAGAAGGTCAGTTTGATTTCATGTTTTTGGATTCCTTTGAGTAATTAGTAGATCTTCTGTTTTCTTTGACTGGAATAAAATGAGAGACAATAAAATGCTAATGCAAAATGTTTTGAATTACATAGATTTTTTAATAACT